CCAATGAAACAGACAGCTCTAGAAAGTGAGCCAAGCTACACATTAAAGGAAGTTAACCCTGAATACATAGAGATAATTCTACATAGAGGAAAAATGATAATCAGCTCATTAATTTATTACATTCTTACACCACTTTTTATTAACAGTTTATATATGCCCTCCCTAATCTTTTGACAGCAATCCTGTAAGGTAAATTAGATTGAGAAATACTGACTGGCCCAAAGACTTTGGGTATAATATGCAATTAAAAGATTGGGGGAAATTGTGAAAAGAAGGAATGAAATTTACAGCATGTAATGCTTTGAAAGAAAATGTGATGAAAATGATGTACAGATGGTATATTACACCAGTGAAATTAGCTAAAATGTATAAAACGAATAACAAATGTTGGAAATGTAAGGAAAAAGAAGGAACTTTTTATCATCTGTGGTGGGAATGTAAAAAAGTAAAAAGCATCTGGGAAATGATATATAATGAGATGAAAAAGATGTTGAAATATACATTTGTAAAAAAAACAACAGAAGCATTTCTACTTGGTATGGTAGGAGAAGATATTAGCAGACAAGATAATAAATTGTTTTTATATGCGATAACGGCGGCAAGAGTACTACTGGCACAGAAATGGAAGCAAGAAGAATTACCGACGAAAGAAGAGTGGCAGATTAAATTAATGGACTATGCAGAATTAGATAAAAGGACAGGAAGAATTCGAAACTGGAGGTTCTTAGAAGATTGGAGTAAATATACGAACTATTTGAAAATTAACTCTAATCAATTGAATACGCTAGTAGGACTGCAAGGAGTTTTGTAAGAAGGACTATATGTAATATTGCAGGTAAAATTTATGAAAAGGACTATTAGTTATGGATTTTTAAAAGTAATAGTGAAAATAATGAAATGCAAGACTAAGTGATGAAGAATGAAAATCATTAGGCATAGCTGAGGGAAGTCCTAAAAACATTATATAAGATAAGATGTTAAGTGGTATTTGGAAAATGCATTTGCAAAATAATAATAATAATAATAATTTATTATTTATACCCCGCCCATCTGGCTGGGTTTCCCCAGCCACTCTGGGCGGCTTCCAACAAAACACTAAAATACAATAATACAAAAATTAATTTTATATATATAGAGAGAGAGAGAAATACTGACTAGCCCAAAGTCACCCAGCCACCTTCTGAACCCAGTTGCTCACCGCCCTGGTCTCCAACACCCCACATGAACTGAAAAACTAACAGCACAAACGAAGAATGTGCGAAGGTCAAAAATGCAGAGGAAGATCTAGGTCACAGGTATCGCAGAAGCACTCTGGATGTGAAATGCAGCTTCTCTGGAAGTTATTTGTTAGCTTGCTTATTTGTTAAAATCCTATACTACTTTGTAAAAAATCCCTAAATGATTTCCATAAAAACAATAGAAATGCAAACAAGGTAAGACTATAAAACTTTCGAAAAACTGGATAGAACCAGAATAGAACTGCATAAAGTATTGTGGAGACAGCTGAGCAAAGTTCAAAACGGAGAATTAAACAGTCGAGGTCTAGAGAAGCTTTTAAGAGGTGTTTAAAGGTCATTACTGACGCCACCTCATTAATTCCCCAAAGGCGGGCATTCCAGAGGGTGGGAGCTATCACTAAGAAGACATGTGCCCATGTTGTCAACAAGTAACACTTGCGGAATGAACAGCGGGGTCTCCTCAGAGAACTTCAAAAAATTGTCTTGGTTTGTACTGGGGGAAGGGGTCTCCTGGTCCCAAGTTGTTTAGGTCTTTAAATGTCATCACCAAAAACTTGAACGTGGCTCAGTAGCTAACAGGCAGCCAGTGCAGATCTGCCAAATTGGTTGCAACTACTATGGCAAGGCTCTCCCAGTCCAAGGAGCGTCACAATGGATGCACTGAATTTGTGATGAGCCCTCCAAGGTGACTACAGTGCTAGAGGAGACACTTGAGAGTCCCACGGACTGCAAGAAGATCAAACCTATCCATTCTGAAGGAAATCAGTGCTTCCTGGAAGGACACATCCTGAAGCTGAGGCTCCAATACTTTGGCCACCTCCTGAGAAGAGAAGACTCCCTGGAAAAGACCCAGATGTTGGGAAAGGAGAAGGGGACGACAGAGGACGAGATGGTTGGACAGTGTTCTCGAAGCTACCAGCATGAGTTTGACCAAACTGCGGGAGGCAGTGGAAGACAGGAGTGCCTGGCATGCTCTGGTCCATGGGGTCACGAAGAGTCGGACACGACTAAACAACAACAAAGGTGACTACAATCACCTGAGCCATTAGGGATGGAGATGGACTAAGGAGCATCCCGAAAAGATGCACCTGCTCCTTCATAAAGAATCCATTTCCTTCCAGGACAGGTACACAATTCCTAGACCTGAGAATCAGCCATCCAGAGAGGTTTGTTAGGATTCTGTCACAGGAGTAGCATTCAAGCACATACATGGCCTCTCATGATTTAGATGACACCAAGTAACAGAGGTGGCCATCATCAGCATACTGGTGACGCCTTGCCCCAAAATCTCCTAAGGACCCCGCCCCCATGATTTTATAGAGATATTAATTAAATAGCATTGGGGACAAAGGCATGCCCTAGGGCACCCCACAGGGGTCAGGGCACACACCCTCTGGAGCTAAGTAGGAGTAATGCCATGGTGTCTCCAAGCCACAACTCACAAAGACAAGCTAGGGCCAGTGGTGGCCAAACTTGGCCCTCCAGCTGTTTTGGGACTACAATTCCCATCATCCCTGACCACCGGTCCTGTTAGCTAGGGATGATGGGAGTTGTAGTCCCAAAACAGCTGGAGGGCCAAGTTTGGCCACCACTGAGCTAGGCAGATACCATGGTCAACTGAGATATCTAGGAGAATCAATAGTGTCACACTTCCTCTGACCCAAAGACAGTGGTTCTCAAAAGGTGTGGCATGTCAAGCAGGTGAGGCAGGAGAGGGTGGCAAGTATGGCAAGAAGGTTCGAGGACAATCAAAGAAACATTTGAGCATTTCAGTGTGACAGGAATATACCACCAGAAACAATATCCATGCCTCTCTTCAAGAACATTGGCTGTTCTTCTGGAGTTCTCTATGACATACTGTGAAGAGGGATTTTCAGTTCTGACAAATATGAACGTTCAGAAAAAGAGAAAGGCTTATTTGTGCTGGTGAGGAGACAAGAGTTTGCTTGTCTCAAATTAGACCTAATATAAATGAGAGTACCTGGCAAAAGCAAGCATAAATGCCTCAATGAGTTTGTATATATACTTAAGGTACATACATAAGAGGCTCATTTATAATTCTGTTTTGGGGATGATACATGTTCTTACGTAGATGCATTGTTTTATACTTTCTGGGTGCCCCATGATCATATTATAAAGTAATTGTCCTCTGTGTTTTGTTTTGTTTTAAAAGTAAAGAAAAAAATCACGGCTTGGAGTTCTTTCCTTTAGTTCTTCAATGAAAATTTGATGTGGCATGGGCAAATATTTATTCTACAGGTGAGGTCCGAAGAAAAATGTTTGAGAACCACTGCCCAAAGAACTTCAGCCACCAGGGCAGCTAAGGCCAATTTTCACCCAATTCTCAACCCAGTGTGAAATGAGTCAAGATCAGAGGTAGGCAACTTAAGGCCCTTGGGCCGGATGCGGCCCAATCGCCTTCTCAATCCAGCCCGTGGATGGTCTGGGAATCAGTGTGTTTTTACATAAGTAGATTGTGTCCTTTTATTTAAAATGCATCTCTGGGTTATTTGTGGGTTATAGGAATTTTTTTTCTTCTTTTTCAAAATACAGTCCGGCCCACCACATGGTCTGAGGGATGGTGGACCAGCCCACGGCTGAAAAAGGTTGCTGACCCCTGGTCAAGATAATCAAGTTTAGGCATCAGTCAAAAACTTACAAGCATTTTCAACTTAGTGCAGGGGTCTGCAACCTTTAAGACAAAAAGAGCCACTTGGACCCGTTTCCGAAGATAAAAAAACTGGGAGCCGCAAAACTCGTCATCATAAAAATAACTTTTTTGTCACTTTTTTATTATTTCTTTGTTTGACCCCTCAGAATTACTCCTCCTCATAGAAATAAACGTTAAATTAACAAGTTGCCTTTTTATGTGTGTGTGTTCTTCACTCCCCTTCAAAACAGTGACCAGCGTACATGCCCCCTTTCAATGCAGTGACCAGCGTACATGCCCCTTACAATATGGCGGGCGGGCGGGCGGGAAGGTGACGTCGGGGTGGTGCGTGACTAATGCACGCACCGCCCCCATGCGACGTCACATCCAGTACAGCGCCCGCCACAGTGGGGAGTGTCGGGGCGCACAATGCGCCTCCTCCCCTCGCTAGTATCCGCCCCAGAGCCGCGGCAAAGGTGTAAAACATGCGGCTCCGGAGCCGCGGGTTGCAGACCCCTGACTTAGTGGGTCGGCTGTTGTTTTCTGAACTAACAAGCTGTTGATATGTTCTACGCTGCCATTTTAAAAACGTGTTTTCATTTATTTATTGCTAGGATCTTGTGACAAACGGCGGGGACATAAACCCAAAAACAAACAAACAAATTTGCCCAATCCTTAGCACAAGCGTGGGAAAAGCTGGTGCTTTTTCAACAGAGACTTCCATTCAAATACCACCCGGTCAATGTTTATTTCGAGTCGACTAATTGAACATAATGCCTCTCTTGTTGTCATAATAAAAAAGGGATCATATTTGGAAGTGGCAGAAGAGGAGCTGAATTCAGCTTTGAGCAGTAATTAAAGCAGTGCTTCCTCTCTCTAAAACCAATAGGTAAAATCAACCCAGAGCTGGGCCTGCAACCTTTTATTGCCAATCTCTAAAGAGAGATGTGCTTTGGGACCCTTGAGTGCAATGGAATAGCAGAATAACCATCTGTACAGCATGTTCTTTTGCTGCGGTGAGAGAAAGCACAGCCGGTAGTTTCGTGGTGCACACGTCCTATTGGCCAGTCAGTTCCTTCATCTTTCCTGTCGGGCAGCACAGATGGGAAAGGGCCGTAGCTCAGCGATAGAGCATCTGCTTTGAATGCAGAATGTCTCAAGTTCAATCCCCAGCATCTCCCCTGTCCAGTTTGGGACTAACTCTCCCTAATCCCCTTACCAGCCAGAAACTGAATCACTACAGTAGATGGAGAGAGAGAGAGAGAGAGAGAGAGACAGCAAACCTAAATATAAGCATTTTGGATAATTAACACTTTATTATTGCATGATTATATATAAAGGAGCCACAGAATGCGGCAGCTAGACTGGTGACTAGGAGCGGCCGCCGAGATCATATAACACCGGTCTTGAAAGACCTACACTGGCTCCCAGTACGTTTCCGAGCACAATTCAAAGTGTTGGTGCTGACCTATAAAGCCCTAAACGGCCTCGGTCCAGTATACCTGAAGGAGCGTCTCCACCTCCATCGTTCTGCCCGAGCACTGAGGTCCAGCACTGAGGGCCTTCTGGCAGTTCCCTCGCTGCGAGAAGCCAAGTTACAGGGAACCAGGCAGAGGGCCTTCTCGGTGGTGGCACCTGCCCTGTGGAAAGCCCTCCCACCAGATTTCAAAGAGAAAAATAACTACCAAACTTTTAGAAGACATCTAAAGGCAGCCCTGTTTAGGGAAGCTTTTAATGTTTAATAGGTTATTGTATTTTAGTGTTTTGTTGAAAGCCGCCCAGAGTGGCTGGGGAAACCCAGCCAGATGGGCGGGGTATAAATAATAAATTATTATTATTATTATTATTATTATTATTATTATTACAGCAGAATTTCCACCATCCTCCTCCCAACATTACAACCTAAGTGGAAGAAATACAAGCCAATGAAACCGACTCTCTCCCATGCTGTCAGACCTTTCCTTTCTCTAACAATTGCATATCCACCGAGATCTTGATTTCACTGAAACTGCAGTAAAAACAATGCTTATTTGAGGGTCGTAAAACTGCTCCTGCAATGGAGGGGAGGTGGGTGTTTGACATCATGGACACCAGCCAATTGGAGCTGTGCACAGGGGCATTCTACTTCAAACTCACAAAAGGGATATTTTGTGAGCTGTAATGTGGAGCAAAAAGGGTTCAGCTGAACGTAACATGGTACATATGCTTCTGGAGCAAAATGTTGTGCACTTGTATAATCTTATTCACATCCAGGACATGTTCTGGCAATCATATCCTTACTAATTAAGCCAAAGCATGGCCATGAATGCAGCCCCTTCACTCCTCCCATTGCTGTGAGCAGCAATTAAACCCAGAAACCTCTAATTAATTAACCACAATTCACATTTCATCTGAACCAGGGAACTATAATTACCAGCTTTGGAGCAAACAATTACCAGCTTTGGACATTCAACCCAACAGCTTGGAAGTTGGTTTAATATCCTGGCTTGTTCCAAATCTGGTCACCATTGTTTCCTGGTTTGGACAAAGCAGAAACTATGGTTAATCGGAAACTTTGTGATTTAACTGCCGCTTATACAGAGAGAAAAGTTTTTGGGTCCCAGTGAAGGCTGGATTAAGTACATGAGACAAGGAATCCTGTCAGTATTTTCTTTTAGAAAAGGTTCACATTTAAGCATCATGCCACCATCAAAGGCAGAGGAGCAGTAAAAACAAACTGGCAATTTTTCTAACACCTCATCCCTGTCACTTTCGGGGAAGCCCTGTTCTAAAACGTTCCAATTTCTTCAGTTGAAAAGCTTAAATAATAACCTACAGTCTATGCACAGAGGAGGAGGCGAAGGCCTGTGATTAATGTGCCTTATAAATCCTAAAGGAATGAAGAGGTTAAGTAAGCGGCGGTTGCCAAGAATTACACTAATGTAGTTATGCATTAAAATCAGTGTTGCTCACTCAGGCTCCCTAATCGCAGCTATATTTCCAAGAAAACCCTGCCAACCTTGTGCTTTATACTTCATTAACTGTACCGAAGAGAAAGCCAGTATGCTATTTAAAAAGAGCTGAGTTATACGAGCCGAGCGCCCTGCTCCCCGAGTCCAGCCAGACCTCGAGAAAAGGCTTTGAGTAGAAAGGTCTTTCTGGATCAAACAACCATCACTTGTGACAGAGGTGGGGGCATCTGTTTCCTTTTGAGAGCTGTGTACCAGGGGCGGGCGAGGTCAGTGGGAAAAGTGGGTGGACCTATGAATGTTCATTTCATCTCTCTCTGTCTACCCACCACCAAGGCAAGGAAGAAGCAGTATTAGATTTCTAGCCAGGCAGAATCAGACATGAAGAAGAAGAAGAAGAGTTTGGATTTGATATCCTGCTTTATCACTACCCTAAGGAGTCTCAAAGCGGCTAACAATCTCCTTTCCCTTCCTCCCCCACAACAAACACTCTGTGAGGTGAGTGGGGCTGAGAGACTTCAGAGAAGTGTGACTAGCCCAAGGTCACCCAGCAGCTGCATGCGGAGGAGCGGAGACGCGAACCCAGTTCACCAGATTACGAGACTACTGCTCTTAACCACTACACCACACTGACATACGGCAGGAGTGAGTCTCCAGCATGTTGAGAAAAAAGAGCAGTGATATACATATATATAATGAATTGAAAAAAATGTTTAATATAACTTTTATTTTTTTTAAATAAACCAGAGGCTTCTTTATTAGGAATTGCAGGTGCTGATACAGTGGTACCTCGGGTTACATACGCTTCAGGTTACAGATTCTGCTAACTCAGAAATAGTACCTCAGGTTAAGAACTTTGCTTCAGGATGAGAACAGAAACCGTGCGGCGGCAGCGGGAGGCCCCATTAGCTAAAGTGGTGCTTCAGGTTAAGTACAGTTTCAGGTTATGAACGGACCTCCGGAACGAATTAAGTACTTTACCCGAGGTACCACTGTATTCCAAGGGAGCAGAGACCAGCCTTGCCTCTACCTGACGCAACATTCGCACTGGCGTCTCTTGATGTAGCGCAGCCTGAGGCAACATCCCACCAGGACTCCTCTGCCCCCTCAAGCTTTTGGGGGGGGGTCCTGAGCCCCATCCCAACAGACACTGGGATGACTGTAGAGACCTCAACCCCATCGAGTTTGTGCACCCAACTCCAATTTGTGTAGGGTTTACTCCTTAGCTGTTTCTTCCCCCAAAGATAACCAGCAAGGCAGTGGAGATAACCCCCATCTGCTTTCCCAGGCAAAACCCAACCAAAACTGCTTACAAACAAAAAAACATGTATGGGGGGTGGGGAATCAAGCAACAAATTCTTGTTTCCAATTCTATATGTTGGCATACCAATGTTCGTTGGACTGGTCATGTTGTGCAGATGCCTGATTATTGCATTCCTGTGGAATTCCTGTGGAACGCCCTCCCACCAGATGTCAAGGCATTCCAAAGCAACTCCTTTATTCCGAACTTAAAAATGGAAAGCGTAATGTTGGTGGTCAGCAAAAGAGGTTTAAAGACTGTCTCAAGGCAAATCTTTAAAAATGTAGTACAGTATAACTGGAGAACAGCCTCTACCAAAGGGGTCATGGACTTTGAAGAAGCACAAACTCAGGGCGAAAAGGAGAAATGAGTTAAGAGGAAGGCATGTTTGGCAAACCCTCACCGTGATCAACTCCAGGCCTGAAACCTATGTCCCCAGTGTGGAAGGACGTGTGGATCCAGAATTGGCCTCCACAGTCACTTACGGACTCACTGCTAAAACCCTGTTGGCTGAGAATACTTTGATTCCACTGGCTTTAAAAAACAAAAAATGTGTGGTGAGCTTTTCTGGGCCAAGAGCCTCTGGGAAATCCAGCGTTTTCATATATCAGGGGATGACGCTCAAGGTCTTTGCCCAGTTTGGCTTTGGTTGCCTTGGCTTTCAGATGCCAAGCTCTCAATTCGTTTGCAATGTTCTCAGGACTGATTTGGTGCTTCCTGAACCAGATACAACAAGGTTAACCGGCAGGTTTGAATGCCAAGGAACAGATGGCGGTGCAGGCAAGGCCGGAATGTGCAGGCAACATTTCCTGGCTGTCAAGCCAGCTGTAAAGTCCAGCTGATCAGGAAAGCTGCCACAGGAGAGGGTGCTCAGAAAGAAACGAAAAGAAGGAGAAACTGAAACTCAGATATATAAGCTAAGCTCCAAATGGCTCCTTTTTAAAAAAAAAAATATAATATTTATTAAAGTTTCACAGAAAGAAAACCACATTAGTAAAGAAAAAATTAACAATGAAAAGAAAAAATACAAAATATAAAAAGAAAAAAAAAACAATTAAAAACAATTTCATCTTTTCCTCACTTCTTTTACATTTACTTGTTTCCCGGACCTCCTCTTACCTCCCTCTTTTGTATTCTAATTAAATATGTTAATCCAACAATTCCTTTCCCTCCTTTTTAATCCTAATCTTTAATCTTGATATAATATAACTTTAAATTTTACATTTTATATAATAAAAACCAATTTTTCCATATTCTTTTGGCCTGTACAGCTAGAAACCCCTTAACTTCAATCCAACATCATTCTAACATTCATTAATTTTGCAATATTTCTGTAAATAGTCTTTGAATTTCTTCCAATCTTCTTCCACCAACTCTTCTCCCTGGTCACAGATTCTGCCAGTCATTTCCGCCAATTCCATGTAGTCCATAAGCTCCAAATGGCTCCTTAAACCAACGTTATGTCCACTTGCCATTTGGGGGCAAGATGGCTCTAAAATCTTATTTTTTAAAGATGGACTGTGATTGATTCTCAGTTATATAATATAATAATAATTTATTATTTATACCCCGCCCATCAAGTTCGGTTTCCCCTGCCACTCTGGGCCGCTTCCAACCAAATATTAAAAACATTAAAAAATATTAAAACATTAAAAACTACCTTAAACAGGGTTGCCTTTAGAGGTCTTCTAAAAGTCAGATAGTTTTTTATTTCCTTGACATCTGATGGGAGGGCGTTCCACAGGCAGGTGCCACTACCAAGAAGACCCTCTGCCTGGCTCCCTGTAACCTCACTTCTCGCAGTGAGGGAACCGCCAGAAGGCTCTCCTTGGAGCTGGACCTCAGTGTCCGGGCTGAACAATGGGGGTGGAGATGCTCCTTCAGGTATACTGGACCGAGGCCGTTTAGGGCTTTAAAGGTCAGTACCAACACTTTGAATTGTGCTCAGAAATGTACAGGTAAAGGTAAAGGGACCCCTGACTGTTCAGTCCAGTAGTGGACAACTCTGGGGTTGCGGCGCTCATCTCGCTTTATTGGCCGAGGGAGCTGGCGTACAGCTTCCGGGTCATGTGGCCAGCATGACTAAGCCGCTTCTGGCGAACCAGAGCAGTGCACGGAAATGCCATTTACCTTCCCGCCGGAGCGGTACCTATTTATCTACTTGCACTTTGACGTGCTTTCGAACTGCTAGGTGGGCAGGAGCTGGGACCGAGCAACGGGAGCTCACCCCGTCACGGGGATTCGAACCACCAACCTTCTGATCAGCAAGCCCTAGGCTCTGTCATATAGACCACAGCGCCACCTGTATCCCTCTGCTCAGAAACGTACTGGGAGCCAATTCATGGACTTTGAAATCAAGCTAGTTCAGATGACAACTGTGAGCTACGTTAAGAGCTTTGAGAACTTAAGGGAGAAAAGACACTTGATCCAGGGAAAATCCACATACATATTGGCCTCTTCCAAACTGTTTTTCTTAATGGTGACTGCTCCTGCTCAGGCTGCACAGAAAAAGCATTTTGGTTCCAGAAATTCACTCCAGTTGTTAAGATGTAATACAGCGGATAGAATTCTGAAGACGTTCCGTTTTGACAACTTAGTTGAGGGAGCCATTTGGCACCTAGCTTATATATCTGAGTTCCTAACACTGCCAAACACTCTTTACTAGACTATGAAGCTGTCAACCAGGGCCAGAGCCTTTTCAGCTCTGGTCCCGGCCTGGTGGAACGCCCTACTGCAGGAGACCAGGGCCCCCTGCGGAATTTGACATCTTTCTGCAGGACCTTCAAGACGGAGCTGTTCCGCCTGGCCTTTGCCCCCCCCCCCCAAACACACACAGACTCACTTTTTTTAATGGAAGCCCTTATATGTGATTTGTATATAAATTTTCCTTCGGTTCTTTTTGCTGGCCCAGCATGGATAGTTGGCCCCGGTGAATATTTGACGTTTTCTCCCCTTATGGCTTTGATCTATGGGCTACCACTAAAACGAGGCTGCATTTTAAACTGTATTCCAGCTTATATTTTAATCAACTGTTTGTTTTTTTGTTTTGTTTTGTTTTTAACGTTTTTACGGTATTTATATTTGGTGTGTAGCCGCCCTGAGCCCAGTCTTGGCCGGGGAGGGCGGGGTATAAATAAAAATTTATTTATTTATTTATTTATTTATTTATTTATTTATTTATTAATTATGGCTGGGACAGCCAAGCCAGTGCCTTCCAGAATTTGCAGGACTCCGATTCCCATGAGGACCAGCCAGCATGGCCAATGGTTAGTAATGACAGGAAGCGTAATCCGCATCCTAAGGAGCGTACCGTGCTGGCAACCCCTGCCGTAAGGCAACCAGGCTACTGCAATTCTAAGCACATGTACATGGAGGTCAGTCCCACTGAAATCAAGGTTACTGTTATATCACCAGGACACTGAGCGTCGAAAATGCTGGTGAGGCCCAAGAACAATGAGAACAAGCTTTTCTCTGTTTTCTTTTCTATCTTTCAAGATGGCCAACCCCCCAGAAAACATATACTTTGCCTTTTGGCGTGATCAAGTGCTGCAAATGTGGCTTCTCACAAGAGCACTGTGCTGCCTTTGGCAATCTCAAGTGTTCTTGGAAAACCTGTTTTTTTCAGTAGAAATTCCGAGGCTGCGTGGTGACAGATCGCTAACTGCAAGGGGAAACACTCTATTTCGTCTTCTCAGAGTGCTCCGTGTCTGGCAAACCACCCCACCAGAAAACAGCTTCCTATTTTAAAAGCTAAAGATACAGTCTATTAAGTGGGCTTTGCTCCATTTAAGTCGGTTGGCCACGTTCCCTGGCAAGATCACAAATCCAAGTACAAGACGTTTAACTACAGATCAAGCCTTGAATTGTCAGCCTGCTGTAATGATGTGAATTGTATTCAGCTTCTATTCAGCTTGGGGCTCCTCTGTGAGAGTGGGACGTTGGACCAGAAGGCTCTTATGTTCTTATGTCTTATCAAGACAGAACTACTGTTCTTGGAGGACAGGGGGCAGACTGGTGTGGAGGACTCCCTGGTCCTGAATGGGGTAACTGTGCCCCTGAAGGACCAGGTGCACAGCCTGGGGGTCATTTTGGACTCACAGCTGTCCATGGAGGCGCAGGTCAATTCTGTATCCAGGGCAGCTGTTTACCAGCTCCATCTGGTACACAGGCTGTCTCCTCAGAGTGGTACATGCTCTAGTTATCTCCTTTTTGTACTACTGCAGCACTGTATGCAGGGCAGCTGTTTACCAGCTCCATCTGGTACACAGGCTGTCTCCTCAGAGTGGTACATGCTCTAGTTATCTCCTTTTTGTACTACCGCAGCACACTCTACATGGGGCTACCTTTGAAGGTGACCCAGAAACTGCAATTAATCCAGAATGTGGCAACTAGACTGGTGGCTGGGAGTGGCCACTGAGACCATATCACACCGGTCCTGAAAGACCTACACTGGCTCCCAGTCCATTTCCAAGCACAATTCAAAGTGTTGGCGTTGACCTTCAGAGCCCTAAACGGCCTCGGCCCAGTATACCTGAAGGAGCATCTCCACCCCCATCATTCAGCCCGGACACTGAGGTCCAGTGCCAAGGGACTTCTGGTGGTTCCCTCACTGCGAGAAGCAAAGCTACAGGGAACCAGGCAGAGGGCCTTCTCAGTAGTGGCTCCCGCCCTGTGGAACGCCCTCCCATCAGATGTCAAAGAGATAAACAACTACCTGACATTTAGAAGACATCTGAAGGCTGTCAGTGAAGTTTTTAATGTGTGACATTTTCATGTATTTTTAATCTTTGTTGGAAGCCGCCCAGAGTGGCTGGTGAAACCCAGCCAGATGGGTGGGGTACAAATAATAAATTATTATTATTATTATTATTATTACGCTTTCCTTACATTAAGAAACATTATCTAACCATTAAAAAGCTCCCCCATTGGGCATTGCGCCTATGACAGATCTTCCTCGCTCCTCAGCGGTGCTTCTCAATCAAGTTCTTCAGCCAAACAGCTTTTTCATCCCACAGCGCTTACTCGGACGTCAAGTTCTTGCAACTTGCCAGAGAAAGATTCGCCTCCTGGTCCTGACAGCTTGTGAGCCAGAAACCTAACTTGGCTCTTAAAGTAGCCATCCCATCATTCCTGCCATGTGCTGGCCTTTCAACTCATGGCAATGCCAGGTGGCTCAGGCAGCAATAGCTTTAGGGAAACAATCCATGGTGCAAATCTGGTAAAAAAAAAACATGTTTACCAGAGTGTGAGCCCCACTGGAAACAGCAGAACGTAGTTTGGAGTAAATATGCAAAGGATGAGGTCGTATGGGGTCCCAATCATGGGAACCACCCTCTCAGACTAAGAGTCTGGTGACCACAGATATCCATGCTCAGGTTTGGATTGAACACTAGAGTAGACCTTCTGTCTCGCCAGAGTGTTGCATGCTCTGGTTATCTCCTGCTTGGACTACTGCAATGTGCTCTACGTGGGGCTACCTTTGAAGGTGACTCGGAAAATGCAATTAATCCAGAATGCGGCAGCTAGGCTGGTGACTGGAAGTGGCCAACAAGACCACATAACACCGGTCTTGAAAGATCTTCATTGGCTCCCAGTACGTTTCCAAGCACAATTCAAAGTGTTGGTGTTGACCTTTAAAGCCCTAAATGGCCTCGGCCCAGTATACCTGAAGGAGCGTCTCCACCCCCATCATTCAGTCTAGACACTGAGGTCCAGCTCTGAGGGCCTTCTGGCAGTTCCCTCATTGCGAGAAATGAGGTTACAGTGAACCAGGCAGAGGGCCTTCTTGGTAGTGGCGCCCTCCCTGTGAAACTCCCTCCCATCAGATGTCAAGGAAATAAACAACTATCTGACTTTTAGAAGACCTCTAAAGGCAACCCTGTTTAAGGTAGTTTTTAATGTTTAATGTTTGATCATGTTTTTAATACTCTGTTGGGAGCTGCCCAGAGTGGCTGGGGAAACCCAACCAGATGGGCGGGGGTAAAATAATAATAATAATAATAATAATAATAATTATTATTATTATTATTATTATGGATCAGGCAAGTGACTCATCAGGTCCAGCAACCTGTTCTCACAGTGGCTGACCACATCCCTGTGGGAAACAGGTTAGCATGACCTGAGTACAACAGCACATTCCCTTCCTGTGATTTCCATCAACTAGTGTAGAATCATAGAACTGCAGAGCTGGAAGGGACCCAAGGGACATCTAGTCCAACCCCCTGCAATGCAGGAATCTCAACTAAAGCATCCATGACAGATGGCCATCCAACCTCTGCTTAAAATTTCCAAGGATGGCAAATCAAGTTGATGGACTGTCCCGAAATGACTAAATCAACTGTGAAGCTCAGGAACCAAGAAGACAAAAAAAAAAAAAAAAAAAAATTAAAAGGGAAATGTTTATAATGTATATACAAAATCATTGCAAACGGGTCAAAACATTATCAGGATTCTAAATACACTTGCAATGTAATAGTACAGATAACTTAGGAAGATGAAAAAATGGAGAAGTATTGATATGCAGTTGAAAATAGAATTAGGCGGACCCATTGATGGGATGGGCGGGGAGTCAGGACATTTAGATTAATCTCGATAGGTGGAATTTGTATGATCTTTTGATGGAAGTTTATTCTCTTTCTTTTTCTTTCTTTTCTTTTGTCTGTTTTGGAAAATCAAATAAAAAATAATTTTAAAAAAAACACCTCCAAGGATGGAGAGTTTAGCAACCACTCTTCCCAATCGTTAGGAGCTCTCTCGTTTAGCACACACATCTATTTCCCTTTCTTCTCCCTGCTACCCTTTTTAAATGAATGCCGGATCTCTGAAGGTCTCGTCTCGTTCTATCACACCTCCAACATTACAGTGCCAGAGAGAGAGAGAGAGAGTCAGCACTTTTGCTTTTGCTCATTAAGAACCTCAAGGGAGAGCAAGAAGTAGCAGTCGACAGCCTTTGATATTCCCCATAAATGCAAAAAGAAAAAAGAGAAAGAAATGGGAAGGAAAGGGAGCCACGCTCTCAGTCAAACAAAGGAGTTATAAAATTAGACGTTTGGAATAAAACTATTGAAGAATGCCTTGGGAGCACGCATGGTCTATTAACTCATACCTGTTAAGCTGTACTGAAGCATCCCGCCTGGTTTTTGTGAATCATCCCAGAGTAGAGTGACCCACATAATGGTTTTGGGGGAAGAGAAGTAGAAGAGGAGGAGGAGTTTGGATTTGATATCCCGCTTTATCACTACCCTAAGGAGTCTCAAAGCCGCTAACATTCTCCTTTCCCTTCCTCCCCCACAACAAACATTCTGTGAGGTGAATGGGGCTGAGAGACTTCAGAGAAGTGTGACTGGCCCAAGGTCACCCAGCAGCTGCATGTGGAGGAGCGGGGAAGCGAACCCGGTTCACCAGATTATGAGTCTACCGCTCTTAACCACTACACCACACTGGCCCTACACCAATAATGGAAGCAAGTGATATGACATGAGCACATCATGTCTTTCTCCATTCCACACAGCAGCCTGGTGAAAGACTGAAACCATAGAGTCGTAGAGCTGGACAGGAACCAGGCGTCATCTATTCCAACTCCCTTCAATGCAGGAATCTCAAATAAAGCATCCAGGGCAGATGGCTGCCCAACCTCTGCTTAAAAACCTCCAAGGAAGGAGAGTCCACAACCGCCGAAGGGAGACTGTTCCACTGTCAAACAGCTCCTACTGTTAGAAAGTTATCCCGTATGTTTGGTCGGAATCTCCTTTTGTGTATCTTGAAGCAATTGGTTCGGGTCCTACCCTCCAGAGCAGGAGAAAACAAGTTTGTTCCCTCTTCCAGGTGACAACCCTTTAGATCAGGGGTAGGCAACCTAAGGCCCATGGGCCACAAACAGCCCACGGGGGTCATTTAACCAGCCCATGAGCCACCACTGAACCAAGCCGCCCGCTCAGCGAGTTCCCACGCGCTGCGCTAAACCGGAACAACACGGTGTGGGGATTCGCTTCTGCAGCACGAACCAGCCCAGGCAAGGTAAACCTTGCTGACCCCTGCTTTAGATATTTGAAGGTGCCTATCGTCTCTCCTCTTTTCCCAGGTAAATGCAGAGGGAGGGAGGGGGAAGTTAACACCAACAAGAATAAGGCCACGCCAGGCATGTTCATTATTATGCGTTACAGCTTGGGAGGAAGAACATACAAAGTGTGGGATGTGATACAAGTACAACATTCCTTGTTTTCCTAGAGTGGGTATGCAGGGGAATGTTTGGTCCAGGCAGTCGAAAACTGTTCCTGTTTCCTCCTGGCTGGAACATCCTTCCTTTGCCTGTGACTAGAGGTGGGCGTGACCTTACCTGTTCAGGTAACCAAAAGGACAAGGCACGCAGCACACTCTCTCTTTGACTTCCTCCGTTGTTGGAGCAGCTTTCTGGTTAGAAATGCCCTGTTGGCTTTCAGCCAAGAGGACACTGGGATTATCCCCATATGGGATAGATCCACATGCATACGGTGGTATCTCGGGTTAAGTACTTAATTCGTTCCGGAGGTCCATTCTTAACCTGAAACTGTTCTTAACCTGAAGCACCACTTTAGCTAATGGGGCCTCCTGCTGCCGCCGCCCCACCGGAGCACGATTTCTGTTCTCATCCTGAAGCAAAGTTCTTAACCCGAGGTAATATTTTTGGGTTAGCAGAGTCTGTAACCTGAAACGTATGTAACCCGAGGTACCACTATATATCTGTAACTAAGTCTGCCTTCAGGGATCCCACTGTGAACTCAAAGCTCATCAGCAGAGCATCTGTTTGGCACACAGAAGATGCGTAGGCATTACGGTGCAGGATAGACCCAAAGGACTGACTTGAACATAAGAAGAGCTTGCAGGATCTGGCCAATGGTCCATGAAGTATCATGTGACAAAGACACATGAGAGCAGAAGCAGCAAAGCAGGCTGGGAAGTGCTGGGACTGCACAATCATTTGGGCCTACTAAAGTTATTCAGGCCTAACTGCTAACTGTTGAGTCACTCTGACATGTGACTTAGCAGCAGTTTCTCTTTTGTGTTCTCTGTAAGATTTCAGTAAGAGTCAGTCTGCCTCAGCTGTGAACAGAGTCCGTATGTAATCTCAGTCAAACTGTTTGGAAGCAAGTTGTTTATGAAGAAGTTTATTTTAACTCAGTAAAGCTTTTATTCTTTAAAACTCTGCATTATTAATTTACACTGCGCGTCATGAAGTCCATTTATAAAGATGTCTTTTATAAGGTTCCTTTCTGTGATGCTGTGGATTCAGTCCGTGAGAGAAAAGTTGACCTTCATGGCGGCTATGCCTATGTTGGTAAAGGTAAAGGACCCCTGGATGGTCAAATCCAGTCAAAAGCAAATAGGGGGTTGTGGCGCTCATCTCGCTTTCAGGCCAAGGGAGCTGGCGTTTGTCCACAGATAGCTTTCTGGGTCATGTGGCCAGCATGAATAAACCACTTCTGGCACAACAGAAAACCGTGACGGAAGCCAGAGCACACAGAAATGTCATTTACCTTCCCGCTGCAACGGTACCTATTTATCTACTTGCACCGGTGTGCTTTCGAACAGCTAGGTTGGCAGGAGCTGGGACAGAGCAATGGGAGTTACCGTATTTTTCGCTCTATAAGATACACCAGACCACAAGACGCACCTAATTTTTGGAGGAGGAAAACAAGAAAAAAATATTCTGAATCTCAGAAGCCAGAACAGCTAGAGGGATCGCTGTGCAGTGAAAGCAGCAATCCCTCTTGCTGTTCTGGCTTCTGGGATAGCTGTGCAGCCTGCATTCGCTCCATAAGACGCACACACATTTCCCTTTACTTTTTAGGAGGGAAAAAGTGAGTCTTATAGAGCAAAAAATATGGTAATTCCATCGTGGGGATTCGAACCGCCGACCTTCTGACTGGCAAACCCAAGAGGCTCAGTGGTTTAGACCACAGTGCCACCCGCGTTGCTATGTATCTCATCATGATTTTGTTACCATTGTTCTGAACAATTACAGAACCGAACTGTCCAAAACCCTGCCAGTAAGTATTTTTCTTCCTAATTTGCTCTGTGTTTTACACTCCTCCTTTTTGGTTTTCATTTTATAAATGGTGACATTCCATTCAGCCTGCAAAAGGTGATTGGGATAGGGCATGGGGATTTGTCTTTCAGGATTTGAGAAGTACTTAAACAACTTCTTCATCTTTTTTTATTAAGCTTCTTTTCCTCATTATGTAAGACTTCACCTTGCTGTACAATGTAAAACAGGAGCTTTTCTGCTTGATATGTCATTAGTAATACACATTGGTTTTATATGGCAGTTCTTACTGACAAGCAGTTTTCCGCTCCCTCCATTTCAGCAAAATTCAGAATAATATTAGGAACAGGTAGAGGAACAGGGGCAGAAATATATTTGAGAGAGAGAGAGAGAGCTTTTTTTCTGTGGGGACACAGGAGTACGCATACTCCTAAACATTTTGTGAATCTAAGTTTGGCCCCATTGAGGGGCAGTATTTTAATATGAGTAGGAAAATGAGAGTACCCCTAAACATTATTTTTAGGGGGGAAAGCACTATATACAGTGGTACCTCGGTTTAAGAACAGTCCTGTTTAAGAACGATTCAGTTTACAAACTCCACAAAACCAGAAATAGTGTCCCGGTTTGAGAACTTTACCTCGGTCTAAGAATGGAATCCGAACGGTGGAAGGGCACCGGCGGCAGGAGGCCTTATTAGGGAAAGCACGCATCGGTTTAAGAACTGTTTCGGTTTAAGAACGGACTTCCAGAACGGATTAAGTTCGTAAACCAAGGTACCACTGTATAGTAATTTTATCCTATGAACCGCCCTGAGACCTGCAGGTATACGGCGGTATACAAATTTAATTAATAATAATAATAAATCCTCCAGAAAAACAATCTCTCAAAGGACCTGTGGATGGCATTTTGCCATTGTACTGTGGAGAGTGTGTTAACTTATGGTCTGTGTGTGTGGTTTGGGAGCTGCACGTTCAGGGGAAAAAACAACGCTGTCCAGGGTTGTAAAGACTGTGGAGAGAATAATTGGGTGCACTCTATCCACCTTGGATCAAATCTATGCTTCCAGGTGCCATAAGAAAGTTGGAGAGATAGTGCAGAATAGTGCACACCCCGGAAATGATCTCTTTCAGCTTCTGCCTTCTGGAAGAAGGCACAGGGTTATAAAGACTAGGACTAGCCGCCTGAGAAACAGTTTCTACCCCAATGCGATTTTGGTTTTAAACGCACTGTAAGGAGTCTGTATGGGAGTATATTGTATTTAAAAATGGGGTATCAGAGTTTTTAGGGGGCTAACCAGGTTGGGATAGCTGGGATGGAAGGCTTGTTGGGTTTTGAATGTCTTATGTAGATTTTTCAATTTCGTTGTTCTGTATGGGACAATGACAATAAAGATTATCGTATTGTATTGTATCGTAAATGCTGTTCTCACAGTGGCCAACCAGATGTCTGCGGGAAACCTGCGAGTAGAACCCAAACACAACACCGCTCTTCCTTCTTGTGGATTCCAACAACGGGTATTCAGAAGCATCACTGCCTCCAACTGTAGAAAAGAAACATGGCCTCCATGAATTTGTCTCCTCCTCTTTTAAAGCCATCCAAGTAAGGTGGCCACCACTGCCTCCTTCAGCAGCGAATTTCAGAGGTTAACTATGCATGGCATTCCACACTCCCACCCTCCAAAATGTTAAGATTTGTAGGTTCCCAGTAAGATCCCAAATCTACGAAGACAGATTCCTAGGCTGCTATCACCAATCTCCTTTTTTTTACCCTGGTGGAACCATCACGACAACATCAAGATCCTTTCTCAGATGTACCCCAGAGCCTACAAGTCACTGGATCACCATCCTGATAATCAGCAAGACGTGAACGCCAACTGTACCCTTAGGAAATGATTTGGGCTTAAAATCCTTGCACTGCACAGCAGCTGGGAGCCTGATCCGCTTCTCCGTCAACTGAGAATAGACGCGCATCCCAGAAACATCTGTTAAAATGTCAGCCTACTGTCACAAACTGCATCGGAAGAGCTAAATGTCAAAGGAATCCGCTTTTGTTTCTTTGCAGAGAATCCCAGGAAAAAGCAATTAAGATGAAGCGAGTAAACATTCGCCAAGCAGGTAACCTGAAGCGGAGGACAAAGACTGCAAGACTGTCCAAGTGTTCCCTTTAAGAAGGCAAAGCTACGATGCATGGGCTGTTTGGGATTCAGAATTGTGGCTCAATTTGAGAATTCCATGCTTCTAATGGCAGAGATACCCAACGTGGTGCCCTCTAGGTGGTGCTAGATGACAGCTCTCATCATTTCTGACCAGGGGTGGGGGAGAAATTCGATTCAGTTCACCGTTACAGGCAAACCTACTTAATTTGCCCTTTCTAAAACACTTAGAGCTGAAACACAGCTATCTTTTGAAATTCACACTTCTCTGAAGTTCGTAATGCAATTCTCCAACCAATGTTTGAAGGTAAAGGTAAACGTACCCCTGACCATTAGGTCCAGTCGCGGACGACTCTGGGGTTGCGTGCTCATCTCGCTCTATAGGCCGAGGGAGCCGGCGTTGGTCTGCAGACAGCTTCCAGATCATGTGGCCAGAATGACTAAGCCGCTTCTGGTGAAGCAGAGCAGCGTACAGAAATGCCGCTTACCTTCCCACAGGAGCGGTACCTATTTATCTACTTGCACTTCGACATGTTTTCAAACTGCTAGGTGGGCAGGAGCTGGGACTGAACAATGGGAGCTCACCCCGTCGCGGGGATTCGAACTGCTGACCTTCTGATCGGTAAGCCCTAGGCTCTGCGGTTTAGACCACAGTGCCACCTGCGTCCCTGTTTACAAAAAGGTTTACAAAAGTGCAAATATTAGAGGGGTGTGTGTGGATCAAATTGACTATATTAGTGAAATTAACATACAAAAAAGCATTGTTATTGTTTGCAAAAAAAAAAAAATACATACATTGGTCAAAATCGCATACATCAATGTCTGTATTAGGAGAAGTTCACACTTAGATGCTGGTGGATTTTCATTCAGACTTTAAAAGCAACACACAAATTGCTTCAAAAATGTGGAGAACTGAATTGAAGATCAGAAAAAGAGAGAGAAATAGATGGAGAATCAAAATTAACAGACCCATCCATGCCTATTCCTGACTACTGACCATGCTGACTGGCAGGGGTTGGGAGTTGGGAGTCCAACAACACCTGGACGGCAATGTATTGTCTACCTCCTGCTCTAAAATCCTTCTTTCACTGGGTAAGATATGGCAGCACGAGGAAAGCCAATGAGGGGTGATTCGCTCATCAGTGGAAAAGGCCAAGCAAACTCCAAGTAAAGAGGTAAAGAGACCGCTGACCATTAGGTCCAGTCGTGGCCGACTATGGGTTTGCGGTGCTCATCTCGCTTTATTGGCCGAGGGAGCCGGCATACAGCTTCCGGGTCATGTGGCCAGCATGACTTCCCGCCAGAGCGGTTTTACCTTCCCGCCAGAGCGGTTGCCATTTATCTACTTGCACTCTGGCGTGTTTTCGAACTGCTAGGTTGGCAGGAGCTGGGACAGAGCAACGGGAGCTCACCCCGTCGCAGGGATTTGAACAGCCGACCTTCTGATCAGCAAGTCCTAGGCTCTGTGGTTTAACCCACAGCGCCACCCACATCACTAAGCAAACTCCAAAGAAGACTGCAATTTGTGGACACCAATGAAACTCCTGCACTGGCCTTTGGAAAGGCCAGGTTCAGTGACGCTATGTTTTGAATGTCCCCTGGAAGCAACCCTATGCCAGAAGACAGCAGCTGTAATGAATTAAAAGCTACAGAGATGCCCTCCATCCTCAGGCACTACCCTTATGAAAAGAAGGTTTCTCCCCATCCAGCCTATTCTCTCCGTTCCGTATCGAGCCTACGTGCACTCAGGCCGTGCTCACAGTACATTAGCTCCAGCCTAGAGGAATCCCATATTTCAATGCCTCTTTGTACAGGCGAGATGCTTTTGCGCAAAAGCCCAGGAGATACAACTGTTGTGCAGCCTGTTACGGCAAGGCATCCATCAACTTCGCCTGTACTTAGCCACTGAATCATCACCGGGGGTGACTGCAGCCTTGGCTGTGCGGTTCCTGCTTCGCGCTGCGCAAGAAGCCTCCCATCACGTACGTACAGAAATGGGCGCCTTCCCCCACCTCGACGCTTCCGTAATTTGCACACACGCAAAGAGGAAAGACGACCCCTTCGACATCATCATTGCAATAAGAAAAAATAACATGGACTCACCGTTCATCCCATTGTAGAGGCCTCGGTGATGGGGAGAGAGGTCATCCGTCACTGGCCTCCTTAAGGTGCCTTCTCTGCTGCTGCTGCCCCCCAAGTGCTTGAGGTGGTCCGGGCTTCCGCCATAGTGCTGCTTGAGATGTTCGGGGCTGGTCCCCCTCGCTTTCGGGAGGTGCTCAGAGCTCCCGCTCAGAGCGTGTTTGTGGAGAAGTTCGGGGCTGCCGCCTCCAGCGCTGTGCTTCTGGTGTTCCGGACTGCTGCCAGGCCTGTGTTTCTGAAAGTGTTCGGGGCTGCCACTCAACAAGTGCTTCGGCAGCGTTTCCGGACTGCTGCAGCTGTGCTTCTGCTGCTCCACGGCCCCCTTCCCGAGAGTCTTGTGGTGCTCTGGGCTGGGTCCTTTCAGGTGTTTCTGGTGATCGGGGCTGCCGGAGCCGCGGGGTTTGTGGAGGTGTTCGGGGCTGGCGCTGCGGTGTTTCTGATGCTCGGGGCTCCCCTCGCTCCTCGCCTTCTGGAGGTGCTCGGGACTCGAGTTCGGGTGGTGCTTGTGGTGGTCAGGGCTGTCCGTGCTGCCGGTGCTGGAGGTGCTGCTGCCGTCTCCGACGTCCCTGATGAAGGCGCTCGTGGCATTGAGCTGGCAGAGGCTGGCCTGGCTGTCGATCGAGTTTCGGCAACCGGCAACACCGCCCTTCTCCTCGTCCAGCAGGACGCAGAGCTCCTTCAGCTCCAGGTTCTCCTTCACCACCTCCTCCTGCCGAACTTCCAGCTCCTTCAGCTTCTGAAGATACAGGGACACCTCCTTGTGCATGACGCCCGCGCTGTACCGGCCGAGCCTCTGCCACTCACGGGAAACCTTCTTGCCTTTCTGCCGGTCATCGTCCAAGAAGCAGCAAAGGTCTCGCAGCTCCTGGTTGTCCTCCTGCAGTTTCTGGTTGATGTCCTTCAAAAGAGAGAGGAGCAAAGAGAGAAAACAATAGGTTAGCAAGGGGAAGACTCTCGTCTGATCAACATCCATGTCTCACGGGAAACAAGCTGAAGCTAAACACAGAGGAATATTACAAGCTTTTCCACCTGCCATTCCCTCCCACACAGAATCACAGAGATGGAAGAGACCCCAAGGATCATCTAGTCCAACACCCTGAACTGTTGCTGCTGTTGGCATCCATCTGTCTCAGGAGACAGTCAGAGTGTGCCTTCAGGGGTGAAGTCAAACGGTTGGAGAATTACAGCCCTGCTGTGGCTGTAGAGACTGATTGATACAGGAGAGACATTTTTAGTTGCAACTGGGGCAGATGAAGGCATCAGGCCATGCTGATGCAGATGCACCTTCATCATCATAATAATATTTATTATAATAATATTTACTACCCGCCCATCTGGCTGGGTTTCCCCAGCCACTCTGGGTGGCTTACCATAAAAAATGGTAAAACATGAGACATTTGTTTTATCATTAGACATTTCCCAATACAGGGTTGCTTTCAGATGTCTTCTAAAAGACAAATAGTTGTTTATTTCCTTGACATCTGTAAGTAAGCAAGCAAGTAAATTTTTATTTATACCCCGCCCTCCCCACCCCAACCCCACAAAAAGCTAAACAACTTAATTTCTTAATTTTGGTTTTAAAAATAGGGGTCGTCTTATGCACGGGGGCGTCTTATACACGGAAAAATACGGTACATCTTGAATTGTAGAAACTGTAATCAATCACTGAAAATTAAATTTAAAACTCTTTTAAAAGCACGTAATGTTTAGAGGATTGTTGCAAATGATGTTTTGCTACTTGAAAGTGCAAACTGGGCCACCAGTGTGCTAGAATCACTCCAGAGGAAGTTCTACTGCATCTTCGAAACAAACAAAAAAGTCAGGATAGTCCATCTTTACGGTTCCTTTTAAGCTGCAGACCGCTGGCCTTTACTGCAGAAATATATTTTGGGCCAACACAAACTCAGTACAGTCAAGGTTTATTAAAAAAAAATATAATACCAGTGACTATCCTTTTGTAGAAAGAATTCCAGGAAGAATAATCAGTGGGTGATAAAACGCGAGCTTAACTCAACAGTCCACCCTTAGGAAGAAAAATCTATGAAGCTTTTCTATTTTCCTTGTAAAATGGGTAGAGGAACAGATTTAGCCTGTCTTCCAGCTACAGTGTTAAATAAATCTTCTGCTACCTACCTTTTTTCTCTAGGAGAAAGAACAATATCAGGAGAGCCAGAGGTAGGAATTGAGGCTAATCCCTCTTTTTCCCCTCTTCTATCAAAACCTTTCAAGACTCCAGTGAGGAGGGAAAAAACTAAGCAGAATTTGCAAACTACTGTACAGGAGAGCCTGGCTTAACTTCTTAGTATCCCACCAAGTTATACTCAAAAGTAGATCTATTGAAATCGGTGGACTACAGGGAGCTGGGAGCATGACTTTCAGCACAAAATTAGCTCTCATCTCTAATCCCTATTGAATTTAATTAAGCTTACTCCCAGGAAAGTGGGGTTAGAATACAGTTCCTGTCTGCACAGCGCTGCGGCCAAGACTTGCGGCAAAAGCAGAATCACAGAAGGTGAAGGAATGGGTTTCTGTGCAGTCAGTTTAAGAATGACTCGAACCCCGCCCCCTTTTCTTCTTAGCATTTCTAAAATGCATAAACTTGAGCTCTTGAGTCAAAAGGCTCAGATGTATAAACAAATGCTCAGAGTCCTCTCCTTTATCAGTTTGTGATGGCAAGCAAAGCCTTGACTATACCAGTAGAACAGAGAAGACACGTCTGTGCCTTATCTTATGTCCTGACCACAAAAACGAAAAGACCCAGTCTGGGAACAGCGCCAGAGTGTGTTCTCGGAGATGATGACCTCTTGCTCCAAGATAAGAGTAGGAACAGGAAGATCCTTTTATGGTCAGAAGTACAGGAAGGAATACCCTTTTATGGTTAAGAATACCAGAGCAGGAACATATGTGATGTCAACCTGCGTACATAGGCTGACGTGTTTGGATTTCTGGGGAAGGGGGAGAGGGTGCCTGGAGGATATATATACTGCATGAAATTTCTCATTTCTTTGGACTTGCTGTGGACTGACCACGCAAGTGCGTTCTGCTATCCGGAGAGCAGAATAAACTCTTTCTTGGAACCAACCCTCGGTGTCATTTGACTTCCTTCCCTCCCGTCCGGGAGCAACGCAGAGGGGGGCGGGGTTCAAGTCAGTTTTAAACTGACTGCACAGAAACCCATTCCTTCAAAGGGACTCTGAGGTTCATCTACTCCAATCTCCTGCAATACAGGAATATGCAGTTGTCCAATACGGGGACTGAACTTTGGTGTTAGTGATGTTAAATATGCCTTAGCCCACAGCGGCAAGAGTATTGTTGGCTCAGAAATGGAAGCAAGAAGAAATACCAAAGAAAGAAGAACGGCAGATAAAATTAATGGACTACGCAGAATTGGATAAAAAGACAGGAAGGATTCGAAACCTGCAGGACCAGAGATTTACAGAAGATTGGAAGAAATATACAAACTATTTGAAGAGCAATTGTAATCAACAAATTACGCTAGTAGGGCTACAAGAAGTTTTGTAAGGAGAAATATATGAAATATTGCAAAGAAGAGAGGTATTAGATATGAGATTTAAATGTAATAATGAAAATAAGAAATGTAAATTAAGTAATTAGATTGGAAAAATTTCAGATGTGATTGATGGAAGTAAAAAAAATTGTATAAGAAGTTAAAGTACAGTGGTACCTCAGGTTACACACGCTTCAGGTTACATACGCTTCAGGTTACAGACTCCGTTAACCCAGAAATAGTACCTCAGGTTAAGAACTTTCATTCAGGATGAGAACAGAAATCGTGCTCCGGTGACACGGCAGCAGCAGGAGGCCCCATTAGCTAAAGTGGTGCTTCAGGTTAAGAACAGTTTCAGGTTAAGAACGGACCTCCAGAACAAATTAAGTACTTAACCCGAAGTACCACTGTATGTTTAATTATTGTTGAAAATGATACGTTGAAAATTAATAAAAAATTAATTAAAAAATAAATATGCCTTAGCCCAGGGGTCAGCAAACTAAGGTCTGAGGGTCAGATCAGGCCCAATTGCCTTCAGGATCCAGGCAGCGGACTGTCTGTGGATCGGCGTGAAGATTCTGTTCGCTCGGGCTGCGCCATTTTTCCCCTGGCACCATTCCATTCCCCCCCCCCTCTCCGTCACACACACAATGGCGGCGCCTCCTCCCTCCCTCCTCCTATCTTCTCCTCGCCTTGCCTAGAGGAGGAAGGGGACTGGGCTGAGCTGGCTGAGCACCATTTTAAGCAGCCCCTTTCCGGAGCCAGCCCTTTTGCGCCGCCCATTTCCCCCCCCCCAACCACCGCCCTGGTGCTCCTGTGGGCCAGAGAGCGAAGCAGACGAGCTCGCTCTGCCTACCCACAAGAAATAGCAGCAGTGGTGGTGGTGGCAGCCCCAGGGAAGTTAAGCACAGCGGCTGGGGCTGGGGGTGAGGATTGCTTGCCCCCCTCGCCTCTTCTTCCAGCTTCCCGCCCCCCGGTGCTGCTTCTCCTGCCACCAAGGTCTGAGGGACAGTGGACCAGCCCGCGGCTAAAAATAATTGCCGCCCCCTGCCTTAGCCTTTAGTGTGAAGGTGTTTTAAAATGGCATCAACAGGAGGAAAGCTAATAAAAATCAGGAGCACATCAGGTAAAGGTAAAGGGACTCCTGACCATTAGGTCCAGTCGTGGCCGACTCTGGGGTTGCGGCGCTCATCTCGCTTTACTGGCCGAGGGAGCTGGCGTACAGCTTCCGGGTCATGTGGCCAGCATGACTAAGCCGCTTCTGGCAAACCAGAGCAGTGCACGGAAATGCCGTCTACCTTCCCGCCAGAGCGGTACCTATTTATCTACTTGCACTTTGATGTGCTTTCAAACTTCTAGGTTGGCAGGAGCAGGGACCGAGCAACGGGAGCTCACCCCGTCGCGGGGATTCGAACCGCTGACCTTCTGATCAGCAAGTCCTAGGCTCTGTGGTTTAACCCACAGCGCCACCCACGTCCCTAAGCAAACTCCAAAGAAGATTGCAATTTGCGGACACCAAGGAAACTCCTGCACTGGCCTTTGGAAAGGTCGGGTCCTGTGAAGTCCTTCACACTATGTTTTGAATGTCCCCTGGAAGAAACCCTACGCCAGAAGACGGCAGCTGTAATGAATTAAAAGCTGCAGAGATGCCCTCCATCCCCAGGCACTACCCTTATGAAAAGAAGGAATACCGGTGTGGAGGGGGGAATGTAACATTTACCTCCCCTACTGTGATCCAGAAGATGGACTACTTAACCCTTCAGAAATTTTCCCGTTCAAAATTGCCCTCTGCAAGCTGCTTTTTTCACTCCAAGAGATTCTCCAAATTTCCCCCTTTACAGGTGAAAAAAATAGCCTACAGAGGAGCATCCTGCATGCGGAGCATCAGAGGTTCAATATCAGGGTATCTCCAGAAAGGACTAGGAAGGTCCCCCTAGTCCTGAAACTCTGGAGAGCTGCTGCCAACCAGTGTAGGCACTCCTGAGCTAAGATGGGCCATTCGCCTGACTTGGTATCAGGCAGCTTCCTCGGTCTCCTGAAATGACCCAAGTGCGAAGTTCGGCAGCCGTTCCTTGTTCGCCCTTCCTCTTCCCAGCTGCCCTGCTTGTCGCCGGGTCAATTGAGTACATCATTTCAAAGTTTTATATCCCTCCTCCGCCGGCTGGATCAATAGTCAGCCGGGGATGTCACTAAATATAACCACCCGGAAAGAGCTTTTCTGGGGAGGGAGGAGGGTGAAGATATATTTTTTCCACCTTCCTTTCCACAGTTTCTTCTCCTCTGCCTTTCTTGACAAGTGGGGACTGCATTAGGGTAAAGCACACAAAATAATCCATTTGTTGTTATTTAGCCGTTTAGTCGTGTCCGACGCTTCGTGACCCCATGGACCAGAGCACGCCAGGCACTCCTGTCTTCCACCGCCTCCCGCAGTTTGGTCAAACTCAGGCTGGTAGCTTCGAGAACACTGTCCAAACATCTCGTCCTCTGTCGTCCCCTTCTCCTTGTGCCTTCCATCTTTCCCAACATCAGGGTCTTTTCCAGGGAGTCTTCTCTTCCTATGAGGTGGCCAAAGTATTGGAGTCTCAGCTTCAGGATCTGTCCTTCCAGTGAGCACTCAGGGCTGATTTCCTTCAGAATGGAGAGGTTTGATCTTCTTGCAGTCCATGGGACTCTCAAGAGTCTCCTCCAGCACCATAAATAATAATCCATACAGCCCATTAACTCAGCAATCCACTAACCATTTGCAAAGCAAACAAGATGACTTTTCTTCCTTTCTTTTGCCGCACATGCACAACCCACCAGAAGGAACTAGTATAAACAGATGTGGTGTGAAGCTGGATAGGACTAGGCAAGTAGCAACAAGGAAGGGGAACCACTGGAAATGCTTCAAAGGGCTATGGGAGGGAGATCAGGACAAAAATCTTGCAATCTTGTAAAAGCCCGTTAAAGGATGTGAGTTGTGGCACTCTAAAAGGCAATGGGAGAAAAGCAAGGACAAACCTAGACAGCATCTTAAAGAGCAGAGACATCACCTTGCCAACAAAGGTCCGTATAGTTAAAGCCATGGTTTTCCCAGTAGTGATGTATGGAAGTGAGAGCATAAAGAAGGCTGATCGCCGAAGAATTGATGCTTTTGAATTATGGTGCTGGAGGAGACTCTTCAGAGTCCCATGGACTGCAGGAAGATCAAAGCTATCCATTCTGAAGGAAATCAGCCCTGAGTGCTCACTGGAAGGACAGATCGTGAAACTCCAATACTTTGGCCACCTCATGAGAAGAGAAGACTCCCTGGAAAAGACCCTGATGTTAGGAAAGATGGAGGGCACAAGGAGAAGGGGACGACAGAGGACGAGATGGTTGGACAGTGTTCTCGAATCTACCAGCATGACTTTGACCAAACTGGGGGAGGCAGTGGAAGACAGGAGCGCCTGGCGTGCTCTGGTCCAGGGGGTCACGAAGAGTCGGACACGACTAAACGACTAAACAACAGCAACAACAAAAAGCCAATGAGGCAAGCAACAAACTTTTTCTTTTCTTTTTGCAAAGGCTTCTTAAAGCAGGGGTCAGCAAACTTTTTCAGCAGGGGGCCAGTCCACTGTCCCTCGGACCATGTGGGGGGCCAGACTATATTTTTGGGGGGGAATGAACAAATTCCTATGCCCCACAAATAATCCAGAGATGCATTTTAAATAAAAGCACACATTGTACTCATGTAAAAACACCAGGAAGGCCACACAAATAACCCAGTGATGTATTTTAAATAAAAGGACACATTCTACTCATGTAAAAACACGCTGATTCCCGGACCGTCCACAGGCCGGATTTAGAAGGCAATTGGGCCGGATCTGGCCCCTGGGCCTTAGTTTGTCTACCCATGTCTTAAAGTCTACACATGTGCTCTCCTGATCGCCTAGAACGCACAAGAATTCTCTCCAGGTGATCACACAGGGGAGCTTTACAAAAAGCTGGTGGTGTGTAGGTGTCTCTTTCTCAACCACCAACATGGGAATCAAAGAAATGGAGAGCTGGGAGGGACCACAAGAGTCATCTATTCCAACCCCCTGCAAAGCAGGAATCTTTTACCCAACATGGGGCTCAAACCCACGACCCAGAGGAGGAACTATTTAAATGGGGAGAAGCTGACTCTTTGCGGACCACAGTTCCTTTCCTGGATTTACGCAGGTGCTATTAAGAGCAGGGTTCGAATCCCTACTCGGCCATGAAGCTCACTGCATGACCTTGGGACAGGCACTGCTTCTCAGGCGAACCTACCTCGCAGGGATGTTGTGGCATTTAAATGAAATGGGAGAAAACCATGTATGGCACCTTGGATCTCACTGGGGGAAAAGGTGGGATGTAAGGGCAATTGTGGTGCTATGAGTTAAACCACAGAGCCTAGGACTTGCCGATCAGAAGGTCGGCGGTACGAATCCCCACAACGGGGTGAGCTCCCTTTGCTCGGTCCCAGCTCCTGCCAACCTAGCAATTCGAAAGCACGTCAAAGTGCAAGTAGATAAATAGGTACCACTCTGGCGGGAAGGTAAAACGGCGTTTCCGTGCGCTGCTCTGGTTCACCAGAAGCAGCTTAGTCATGCTGGCCACATGACCCGGAAGCTGGACGTCGGCCAAGAAAGTGAGATGAGCGCCGCAACCCCCGAGTCGGCCACGACTGGACTTAATGGTCAGGGGTCCCTTTACCTTTTAAGGGCAATCGTAGAATTGTAGAGTTGGAAGGGAACCCGAGGGTCATCTAGTCCAACCCTCTGCAATACAGGAATTGTTTGCCCAAAGTAGGGCTCAAACCCCCAACCATGAGATTAAGAGTCTTGTGCTCTACCGACTGAGCTATCTCCACTCAATCATGACTTAAACACCATAGGATGGGAAGGAAGTATTGGGGGAACATAAACTGCAGAGGACCACAGGTGGCTGGATGTTGCTCAAACAGTGCAGAAATAAGAGGTACTTGTTGTTGTCGTCATCATCACCATCACGTTTATTAATCCTTTCCCCCCTCCAAATGGGTCCAAACTTCAATGTCTAAAACTCCTGGTAGAGGACAAGGATCTAGAGATCACGCTAAGGGTGGCCAAATTCTGTGCGACTGCCATAAAACTTAGGGAACAAGCTGTACTACCAAAATGATTAAGGTTTTAAATGACAAATTTAGGTTATATTGTAGTGATCAAGATTTAATATATATTTTAAACTGCCGCTGTATCTGAATTGTCACTGTTATAGCCAATCGCAATTCAATGTATTCCTTTGTATTTTATGATTTTCCTGGCATTGTAAGTGAGCCGGAACTGGTCTGTGACCGTAATAATAAAATTCAATTCAACCCTTTCCCCCAAAAGATCAAGACATCATATAGTTCTCCACACACGCAAAACCACCTCCTTTAGTCTCACAACAACCCAGAAAATGACTGGTCCAAGTTAACCCCATGAGCTTCACAGCTGAAGCGGGATTCAAATCTTGGGTTCCCAGCTCTGTCTGACACCTGAATCGAACCACCACACTGAACTGCCTCATTTCAGCTGCTGGGGCTAAGCAGGTCTAGTCCCATGCATCTAAGCTGGACCACATAAAAGTGGGAAGATGCTCTATATAGACTCAGGCTGTTGGCTCTTCAGAATGCCAGGCTAGGAGGGTTTTTTTCCATCCAGACATTTTTTGGACCGGAAATGTCAGAGACTTACGCAAGGGGCAGACAGAGAAGTTTCTTAGAGGAAGGGCAGGGTGGTAAGTAATAAGTGAAGCCAGAGCAGCATCTCAGGAGTGGCATATTCCCAACTGCCACAGATTTCCCTGGTTTGGCGCTAATATTTTTCAGCCATCCATTATCAGTCTTTCCAAGTGCCCCTCATATTCCCACCTCCCCTGTGCCAGCCAATGAACACCCCATTCCGACAGAGCATCTTTCCTCCAGGGTGGAATAGGCAAAGAGGACACATGTTTTAATTATGAAAAAAGAAGATCATGTGGCAATGCAAATTCTGCGGTGGAGAAATTCTTGCAGGCAGAAGCTCCTTAAGCAGACACAATGTTCAGGCTCCTACTCAGACATCATCTCCTGCAAAAAATCCACTGTGCATTAAGGATTCTGATAATGGATTCCAAAGTGGATTTTCTCCCTAGATGGAAAAAAAAGTTCCTAATAGTAAAGCCCTCGCTCTGGCAATAAAGTAACAGTTAGTCATGATAAGTGGGACCTGCAACAAAATGGTGCAGCGTGGAATACTCCCGTTCAGTGCTCCAAGCAGCCAGCCATGCCCTTTTGCAAGATACTCCATTCCACTTCCTATCTCCTGCAGCAGATCCTCAGCATACTCAGTCCAATGAGGTGGTTTCTAAAACAGATTTTCCCCCTAAGTTTTTTTTTTTTTTTAGGGGGGCAATTCTGCAAACCCTGGGGTCACCCCAGGCCTGCCGCCCCTCCCTCTTGTGCATGGATAATGCTGATTTGGCTAGGAAGGGATAAGCACTCTGAAAATGAGCTTGTCCCTGGTGCATAGGACAGCTCAACAGAGCCTCCAGGCGGTATACCACCAAACATTGGTTTGCTGGGGAGCAACGCCAGAAGAGGGCTACTGCCTTCATGCCCTGCCTTCTGGTTGCCCAGAGACATTTGGTTGGCTGTTTCAGGAAACAGGATGCAGGAGAAAATGGACCTCATTTAGAGCATGCTGCTGATAACGCCAAGGTTGCAGGTTCAATCCCGATACGGGACAGCTGCATATTCCTGCATTGCAGGGGGTTGGACTAGATGACCCGCAGGATTTTTCCAACTCTAAGATTCTATTATCTATAACAGGCTTCCTCAACCTCAGCCCTCTGGATGTTTTTGGCCTACAACTACCATGATCCCTAGCTAGCAGGACCAGTGGTCAGGGATGATGGGAATTGTAGTCTGTTCCCTGTTTAGGGAAGCTTTTAATGTTTGAAGCATCACTGTATTTTAATATTGTGTTGGAAGCCGCCCAGAGTGGCTGGGGAAACCCAGCCAGATGGGCGGGGTATAAATAATAATAATAATAATAATAATTGTCTCAAAACATCTGGAGGGCCGAGGTTGAGGAAGCCTGATCTATAACCTCCAGTCTGAGCCAGCAGGGCTCTCCTTATTCTCCCAGGGGCTCAAGGCTGTGGGTCCAAACCATGAAGCAAGAATATCAAAAGACTCAGGGCACCCCCCACCCGACTCTACTCACAGAGTCTCTTTCCAGTTTAACCAGTAATCAGCTTGACATCTGATAAACTTTCCAGGCGGGGGGCAAGGATCTGTTAAATGGAGACAGTGTCTAAGTACTCATAATGCCCCAAAATCACAATCTATATGCAACACATTTACAGGGGATATGCCAAAATCAGTTTTTGAAGGCCAGAAGATGGCCAGGAAGATTCATCTTCTACAATGGCTGGAAGAAATGGTGCCTTCAGGGGTAGGGGAAGAAGAACTGAGGCGTCCATTAGGTCTATTTGCATTCAAGGAATTAGGGAGGGGAGACATATGTAGGCAGTCACTGCCCCCAATTCACTAGACCAGCACCTCCTGACCTCTGAACATTCTCCAAGGGACATTCTCCAACATGCATTGGGAGGCAGTGTGGCATAGTGGTTAGAGTCATGGACTAGGACCTGGGTGACCAGCGTTCAAATCCCTACTTCAGCCATGAACCTCACTTGGGTGACCTTAAGCTGTTCCTAACCCATCACTCAGTGCTGACTGCACTCTGCACATTCTCAAAGGTTACACATTAACCTTACTCCACATGCTCTAGGACTGAGGCACCTCTGTGGCGCAATGGGTCAGAGTGCATGGCTCTTAACCAGAAGGTTGGTGGTTCAAGCCCACCCAGGGTAGGATTCCTGAATTGCACAGGGTTGGACTAGATGACCCTCGGGGTCCCTTCCAACACTACGATTCTGTGAGTCCTAGCAATCAAAGCAATAACTGTTTGTTTCTTTTTGGAGAGGGACGGCCGGCATCTAAGACCAAGGAAACATTGTTTTCACGGCAAAGAGGCAGAGGCAACACTAGCATGAGGCAAACCAATCTCAGCTGGCAGATTTTGGAGACGACAGAATGGGAGACAGATGAATCTCCCGGGTGGAAAGTCTCCCAGCAGCTGTTCAGTAATTCAAGAGAAGAACTTCCCAGTGGGAAGCAAGTGAGAGAGATGGATGCCATTTGGATTCTCCACCTAAAGACATTTTTAAAAATTCTCTCTTTTTTTGGAAAATTTTATTGATTTTCCAAAAAATCAATAAACAAACAAACAAACATAAATCTCAACCGTATTGGAACCAAACTTAGTAACATTGTTAAGTGACTTCCTCGTATCCCCCTGGTTGAATTTCAGTGTATATCATTTTAACGGTTTTCCAAAACCAATATTCTTATAAAACTAACTTAATCACTTAACATCTTTCTTTCTTTCCAATTCAGCATTAAACATATTAATTCATCCCATTACATATTTAAATCCTAGGCCTATCTGGTATTTGCAAGCTTTTCCAGTTAATTTAACTTAACATATTTAACTAAATATTCTTTAAATTTCGTCCGTTCTTCCTGATAATCCTCCTCCTTTTGGTCACGGACTCTTCCAGCCAGGTCGGCTAGCTCCTACATTTTTAAAAATTATTGGAGGGATACTCTCCCAGTGGCCAACCAGATCTCTCTCCCCAGCTGTGATTCCTAGAGCTGGGAAGCCAGAAACATCCTGCCTCTCTGACACCCGGCAGAAATTAGACTACTCCCTCCCTGGCCTCCCCTCTCCATCCCCTCTCTCCCAGGTGTGTACCTTAAGTCCCCGGATCTCGCCCAGGTGAAGCTGCAGGCGCCGGTTGACCTCGCGGATGAGATTGCTGTGGTCCAGCATGGCGCTCATCTTCTCCGACTCCGCCTTGCGCAGGCTCCGGATCAGCTCCTCCTTGGTCCACTTCAGCAGCTCCTCGTCCGACACCTTGGAGAGGTCTTCGGCCACACCCGCCGCGCAACTTTCCGAGCCGGGCGCCGACGACGCCGACGCCCCGGCTCCAGGTGCGGATCCGGACGGAGTCGCCACCTTAGACATGGTGCCGGCGGCCCAAGTGGCTCCGGGATCGCCTGGCTAGGATGGGGAGGGGGGGAATGTCGTTGCACTCCGTATTCCACCAAGACCCTCAAGCCCGAGATCTCGAAAACAACGCCTTTAAGTCAGTCGGGACTGTCCCTCTCCGAGAAATCGGAGTGACTTCGGAATGCAGTAAAGACAAAGTGAAGGGGGGTGCTTTCCCCCAAGCTATTGTGGCTTGTTCAGAAGGAAGGAGGCGCTCCCTCGGTGTAAAAAGACATCCTTGCAAATTATTTTAGAGGGGGGGAGAGACAGAGAGAAGATGAGGAATCTTCAGTCCTCCGATCCGGTTGTTGAGTCTGCGCTTAGAACAGTACCCGGGCGGAGGGAGCCGTAAAACAGCAAAATCTTTGTTGTGTGTGACCCTGGGGGGTTGTAAAAAGGGGCTGGGTGTTTCCGCACAGCTTCAGCTTCAGAGTTTAGTGGATCTTCCAAATTCAACAGGAAAATACATACACACACATATATATATATACCCGTGCGCGCTAAGGAGTTTCACAGTGCCCCCCCCCCCGCGCCTACGAACTTGCGAGCCACGCGGCGCGATCACGAGTGGGGCGAGTCCACGCGCCCCTCCCAAGTCCGGCTCTTTGCAAACAAAGTGGAGCCGCCCCGAAGGATCCTTGGCGCCGTCGGGCGGAGAAGGGTCACTCATCCAGCGCCTCCCAGCCTGTTTTCCCAAAGGAGGCGCAGAGAGGGTGTCTCCTCGCTTCCTTCTGCGCCGCGAAACTCAGGGCTTGCTCCGCATCGGCTCCGGCGCGAGACCTCCCTCGGAAACAAGGATCCGGGAGTGGCACGATCCGAGTCTCTTTGCCAGATCCCCCCGGACAGGACTCGAGGACTTTCCCTTGCGTGCAGGTCGCCTTTCTGTCAGATCCTGCAACACGCCCACGCGCCCTCTCCGGACGCAGCGAGCGCGGGAAGGCGACACGCGGGTCTTTTGTACGTGAGGATGCGGACCAAGGGCAGGTTTGCGCGCCACTCCCCAGTCTGGGCAACGCAGCTTTGGAGACAGGGGTCTGGAGAAGCGGGGTAGAGGCACAGATCCGAGAGAGAACCGGACCCTCCCCACGTTGCTCCGGGAGAATCCGTGCGCGGGGGCACCGATCCGCCCTCTCCTTCCTCCGTTGCAGCTCAGGAAAGGGCGCTGCCCGCTTCTCAACTAGGCTCGTCCCTGGCAGCCATCCTCCTCCTCCTCCTCTTCTTCCTCCTCCTCCGTCCCGGGCAGCCGGGCCTCGCCCCGCTTCAGCCCGCGCAACCGGCTCCCTGCGGATGCTCCGAGCGGCGCTCTCGGAGCCACGGGATACCCAGAGCGCGCATTGGGCACGGGAGGGTCTGGTCCGGCGCCCTGGGCAGGCGCTGCGCCCGCGGCGCGGTCCACGTTGGCCGGGCGAGAGTCAGAGTGAGAGCGAAAGTGAGGCGGCGCGAGGCTTTTCAGCTGGGAGGTGGTGGACCACGTGCGATGCTGGGGGGGGCAGGGGGCGACAGAGAGGGAGGCGCGGCTCGCAGGCGCCACCTCGCGGGCTTGGCCCACAGGCGCCGCGTCTAGAATTGAATCATCGAATTACAGAATTTAGGGCTTGACACCTATCCTTCATAATACAGAATTGCCCCGTATTTCAATGTAAAATGCTACCTCCTGTATTGTTACAGCTTTATTTCAGATACTGTCTCTCCATGGGCATAGCCAGGATGGGGGGGGCAGAACCTACCTTAAAGGTAAAGGTAAAGGGACCCCTGACCATTAGGTCCAATCATGGCCGACTCTGGGGTTGCGGCGCTCATCTCGCTTTATTGGCCGAGGGAGCCAGCGTACAGCTTCTGGGTCATGTGGCCAGCATGACTAAGCCACTTCTGGCGAACCAGAGCAGCGCACGGAAACGCCGTTTACCTTCCCTCTGGAGCGGTACCTATTTATCTACTTGCACTTTGACGTGCTTTCGAACTGCTAGGTTGGCAGGAGCAGGGATCGAGCAACGGGAGCTCACCCCGTCACGGGGCTTCGAACCGCTGACCTTCTGATCGGCAAGTCCTACCCGCGTCCCTAACCTACCGTATTGGCCCAAATATAAGCCACACTTTTTTTCCAAATTCCAAATTCTGACTGTGAAAAGTTAAAGTGTGCTTATATTCGGAACTGTGCGCCCGCCTCCCAGAACTACCGGCCTGAATTTTAAAGGTGTGGCTTATTTGTGGGTGCATCTTATATTCGGGCCAATACGGTACTTATCTGTGACGCAGTAGGTCAGTTAGTTAAGTATTTTAATTTATTTCCCTGATTTAGGGGGGCAAATGCCCCCCCCATCTCTCTCTATCTGTAGCTCTATCTCCCTCTTTGTGCCAAGTTAGGGATCCTCTCCAAATTCAGGCGTGTGAAAGGCTGTGTGAAAGGTCATGCATTTAAGCTCTAGATAAGCCAAGCACCTGTTGTCTTTGTCCATGGCAGGGATACAGGAGTGGCTTGCCAGTTCCTGCTCCAGGTGGATCGCGTGTGGTCAAAACTCTCCACTATGACCTGTCCATCTTGGGTGGCCCTGCACGGCATAGCTCATAGCTTCTCCGAGTTATTCAAGCCCCTTCGCCACGACAAGGCAGTGATCTACGAAGGGGACAAAGGTCCTTGCCAACAAAAGTGCGTATAGTTAAAGCTATGGTTTTCCCAGTAGTGATGTATGGAAGTGAGAGCTGGACCATAAAGAAGGCTGATCGCCGAAGAATTGATGCTTTTGAATTATGGCGCTGGAGGAGACTCTTCAGAGTCCCATGGACTGCAAGAAGATCAAAGCTATCCATTCTGAAGGAAATCAGCCCTGAGTGCTCACTGGAAGGACAGATCGTGAAGCTCCAATACTTTGGCCACCTCATGAGAAGAGAAGACTCCCTGGAAAAGACCCTGATGTTAGGAAAGATGGAGGGCACAAGGAGAAGGGGACAACAGAGGACGAGATGGTTGGACAGTGTTCTCGAATCTACCAGCATGAGTTTGACCAAACTGGGGGAGGCAGTGGAAGACAGGAGCGCCTGGCGTGCTCTGGTCCATGGGGTCACGAAGAGTCGGACACGACTAAATGACTAAATAACAACAACGCCAAACACAGACAAATTTACAAGGTCATGTTTATGTGTGACAAATTCCCCAGGGGCCACCCTCTTAGGCTGCAATAGATGGCAATGGATTGCTTTGAAGTCACTTCAGCACCAGATTTTTTTGGGGGGGGTCACACCCACAACAGTCCTGCCCTGTCCTGTATTTTGCCAGAACAAAGGTGGCAACCCTAATAGGATTCTAGGATTGGAAGGGGTACCCGCAAGGATCATCTAGTCCAACCCCCTGCACAGCAGGAATCACAACTGAAGAGTCCTTGGCAGGTGGCTGTCCAAGCCTTGCCCCATCCTCTGGACCACCTGGGAAACTCCACTGCTGCCCTTGGAACTGGGTGTGCAGCTGTATGGGGCACAGCTCTGGGCCGCCTGAGGGAGTGCCCATAAAAAGCAATTTTAGAGTGGAAGACTGGGGAGATGCCCACTGTTTCCAGTATCTTGCTGTAAGGCTTTTGTTGGTGAGCTGAGAGCTTGATTGGAGCCATGTTGAGAAACTGGAGGTTGAGAGATAGGGTGTGATACTGATTTCTATACAGTGGTACCTCTGGTTGCAAACGGGATCCGTTCCAGAGGCCCATTCGCAACATGAAAAGCCCGCAACCTGAAGTGCCGTATCTGCACAGGTGCGCAGCGCGATTTGGCGCTTGTGCACATGCGCGAAGCGTGATTTGGCACTTCTGCGCATGCACGAGCGGCGAAACCCGGAAGTAACCCTTTCCAGTACTTCCGGGTCGCCGCGGGACGCAACCTGAAAAAATGTAACATGAAGCAAATGTAACATAAGGTATGACTGTATATTAGTAACTTTGTATTAATGTAACATTTTTATAAGTAGCTGTGTGTTTTTGTAGTACAGTGGTAGCTTGGTTTGCATACATATTGGTTTGCTTATGTTGTGGATTACAAACACTTCAAACCTGGAAGTGTGTGTCCTGGTTTGCAACCTTTTTTTGGATTACAACCCTTTTTTCTTTTTCTTTTCTTTTTTGGATTATGGACAAATAAAATTGGAGGCCCCATTGGTAAAAGCATGCCTTGGGTTACAACCTGTTTTGGTTTACCTCTGGACCTCCAGAACGGATTATGGTTGAAAACCAAGGTACCACTGTACATTGTTTCAGATGTCTGTTGTTGTTTCTTTCTCTTTTTTTTGTACCCCCAAATTTCAATCTATTAAGAGGAGCAGGAGAAAACAAGCTTGCTCCATCCATGGCAGCTAAAGCATCCATGGCAGATGGCCATCCAAATTAAAAAACCTCCAAGGAAGGAGAGTCCATCACCTCTTGTGGGAGTCTGTTCCACTGTCAAACAGCTCTTACTGTCAGAACGTTTTTCTGAATGCTTAGTCGGAATCTCCTTCCTTGCAACTTGAAGCCACTGGTTCGAGTCCTACCCTCCAAAACAGGAGAAAGCAAGCTTGCTCCCTCTTCCATGTGACAGTCCTTAAGATATTTGAAGATGGCTCTCATCTCCTCTTTCTCTCTCTCTCTCTCTCCTCTTTTCCTGGCTAAACATACCCAGTTCCCTCCACTGTTCCTCATAAGGCTTGGTTTCCAGACCTTTGATCATCTTGGTTGGCCTCCTCTGCACACCTTCCAGCTTGTCAACATCCCCCTTAAATTACGGTGCCCAGAACTGGACACGGTATTCCAGATGTGGTCTGGCCAAGGCGGAATATTTATTTTTATTGCATTTCCATCCCACCTTTCCCCGTTCTCTTCCTCCCAGTTTTATCCCCACAACCACCCTCTGAGGGAGGTTAGGCTGAGACACTGTGGCTGGCCTACGGTCACCCAGTGAGCTTCATCTCCATGTGACTGTCAGGAGTTCTGCCTACACTCGAGTAGGACTCTGGCAGA